CAAGTAGGACCACCTCTGCTTCCAGCCTTTGGTTCTCAAATCCATGGGTTCCACTTACTAGAGACAGAGCAATACATAATGGCCGTTAATTTGGGGTTTCTACTGTGACCTAGAGGATAATGCCCCATCTTCTCAGGGAGTCATCACCAAGCTGGTGCCTCAATTGTGCTTTCAAAAAACCCTTGTATGACTTCCTGGTGGAAACTTCTGAAAGGTCCAGTTTTGATAGGACCAGTGAATCCCATGGTCACGGATCCATTCCCACACTTCTTTGCTATAAAGTGGAGCCTTGTTTAGAGGTGGTAGTATATAGAGTCCACGTCAATGGATCAAGCACTCGTAAGCCTCAGATCCTGATATCGGCTGAGACCTTGAGAGGAGGAATGACAAACTACTACCCAGATATGTGTCATGTCCAGTCAGGACAAACCACTGATCCTTCTGGGGAGAAGAGGTCCAAGGTAATCAACTTGCCTATGGCAGATGATTGGTCTCCTCACGGGATGGTGCCACACTGGGGGCTCAGTATCGGTCTTTGTTGCTGCAAGTTGACATTTGGCGGTGGCAGTAGCAAGATCAGCCTTGGTCAGTGAGAGCCCATGCATAGCCTCAGTCCTGTTGGGCCCATACATAGCCTCAGTCTCTGCCATGTGGTTCCTCCATTAGTGTGCCAGCACTTTGGCAGCTGATGGCAGACACTGGGTGATTTCAACCATCAGGGATAACCCTTCTATGTATTTGGTTATTTAGTAGCCTGTTCATGGTGGATGCTCTCTCATGAGCATTCACATGATGCACAAAGACCTTCAAACTTCATATTTATTTATTTATAGCAACATGCCTCTTCCTTCAACCCCTTTGACTCTGATCTTCCCATTTTGCTCCCTCCAGATCCCTAACTCAGACATTTGCCACCGTGCGTGAGTCCATATATACACACACTCTTACTTCAGGTCACTTCTCTTTCCATTCAAACCTAGTGCAATGTTCAACATTCCACTAATTGGGAGAATTTCTGTATTACAAAGACACCTCTACGTGGAGCTGTAGTTAAGTGGCAATCCATTTTTGACTCACAGTGACCTGATGAGTGAGTACATCCATGAACCAAGCTCAGCCTTTTCCTCCTCTGTCCCTGGTTATAAAAACCTTCCCATGGGCCCATGTGTATAAACAGAGGGAGATGTGTCAGTGCACCAGTTTTAATAAGTGGGGGTCTGGGTCACACTTATGCAGTCTACTTGTACCTCTGTCCCTGATAATGCCTGAAAGTGCCACTTCAATTATACATTGGATTGCTCCTGGATCTGCTCCACCTTATAGCTAGGTGGGTCTGACAATCCAGTTCACAATAACCAGTCCTGGTCATAGGCTCACTTTGTATCTCATGTTCAGGAGCTTCATTCCTGCCAGAGGTCTGCAGCACACCAGAAGTGTATATATATATATATATATGGGATGGTATATAATTCTTTGCTGCAGATGTCATGGTTTTTCTCTAAAACTCCAAGGTCGATAAACTTGACACAAACTCCAAGTGAAATCCTGAGAGCCACTACCACTACCTCTAATACCGTAGAGTCTGCTGGGCCATATAGCCCAAGTGGCAGAGCTGCTTACACTACAGCCTGTACCAAGAGCCCTTTTCTGCTCTTGGCTCTACCCAGAGTTAGCAGCCTTTCATGTTACCTGATAAATGGGCGGTAGCATTTATCAGCGTTTAAGTATGGAATATGCTGCCTCCAGGGCCCAAAGAGGCCAACCAGGATTTGTGCTTTCTTCATTGTAAGAAGAGGAAGATGCAATATTTCTTTTTATAGTTGGATGAGATGTCCTAGCATACTTCAAACTTCTGGACCCCTAAAATTTTCACTAATATTGTAGGACCTGAAACTTTGAGGGGTTTATTTTCCACCCTTTTGAGTACCTGTGCCTCCAATGGATTTGCCAGTCCTTGCTCACCTAGTATGACCAATATGATGTCATCAATATGGTGAACCAACATGATGTTCTGTTGATGTCAGAATGATCTATATCCCTTTGGACACTCAATTTTAACAGAAGGTGGGAGAGTTAACATAGCCCTGGGGCATGACTGTAAATGAATGCTGTTTTTTGCCCCAACTGAGTGAAAACTCTTTCTGACCCTTCTTACTTACAGGAATGAAGAAGAGTACACTCATTCACCAAATACATGGGACCATGCTACACATCAGAGACTAGGTTAATCTACTTTGGCAAATATACCACATCTGGCATAACAGCTACAATTGGGATTACTATCTGGTTGAGTTTCCACAGTATATTTTCTTTTTCCAAGATCTGTCTGGCTTTTTTAGGAGCCAGACCTATGAACCAGAATATTATGGGGGCCACCACACCTGCATCATTTAGATTTTAAAGGTAGTACTCATTTATGCCAATTACCTGGTTTGTGATATTGTTTGATATACTATATTGGGGGACAGTTTCAGTGGCCTCCACTTGGCTTTTCCACAAGCATGGGAACCAGTATGGTGGCTCTATTATTTACCAAATATGTCAGTTGGCATTATATATTTGGAAAGTGGGGAAATGACCCCTGGGTGAAACTGTGGACCCAGTTAACCCAACATGATCTACAACTGGGTTAAGACTGCATTTAACACGTGGTTCCTAGCTACTCTCACTTAATAGAAGGATTATAACGTTGCTTTAGTTCCTGGTGCAATGTCAACTCCAACCCTGTGTCTAGCTCCAGTGTTTGGATGTTCTCTTTTTTTAGCATGACTGTTAAATGGTCATAGGTCCCTTTTTAGAAGAGCTGTGTGAATCATTTCCATATATCCCTGCCACTGTATTACAGAATACTTCTTCCTGGAACCCTGGCCTCTCCTTAAGTCAGTTACAGGTCTAAAAACTAGTCAGATGCAAATCTCCTCTGTGGACTATAAATTTTTATTGTGTCAATTGCTCCCAACTTCCTGATCATTCGTTCTTCATTTATTTTGATTGTATAGGTTGAGCAATGTAGTTGTTGGCTGTCCATCTGTCTCATCAATAGGAATACTGGGTTCTATTAACCCTCTTCATGTCTCTCAGAGGGTCAAGGCGCCCTGACTACCACTCTGACCTTGTCACTTACTACAATAATTGCATCTTCCTTGCTTCTGATGGCTGAGTACTGCCATCTCACCTCGGCTGACTGGAGATTCTGTCGGCATCAACCCTACTGCTATCAAGGAAATACGATAGGCTAATGACAGCATTTCTTACCATTACCCTGGACTATAGAGGTCAGCCATCACTGGACTTCTGAACAATGTTCATGCCCCTCTCACCAGTGCATTCCTTTTCATTTTGTAAATAGAGTGCCTTCTGGTACCACCTGCAGAGCATAGTTGGCTGATGGATTTTGGGCTTTAAGTAATATATCAATTCGAACTTGCCAACTTCCTTAAGCTTTTCGATCCCTTCCTTCAGAATTATCCTAGAAGTTCTATCATTTTTACTCAACTTGGACCAAGATTTTGTCCATTCTTCCAAGAGCAGTGCATGCGTGTGTTACAATCTTTTGTGTTCCCATATTGATAAGTTATCCCTTATTCAACTGTCCCTTTGACCCGGTACCCTCAGTATCCAGTTTCATTCATACTGTTCTATCTCCTGCTGGGATGCGTTTGCCAGGTCCTATGGCTCCTTCAAGGTATATGCTTGTCCTCTCTTAGCAGGACCAGGGTTTCCTCTGCTGACCTTTTTCATTTGTAATTTAACCCTAGTAATTTGTCTGGTGACAAGGAGATGAGGTGAGGGTAGATCCTGAGGTGGGGGGAGGCAGTGTATGTTTTCATGCAAAGTAGGGGCTTCTACATAATCATCAAGCGAGGAGAATGCTATGGACTGAATTGTGTACCCGCCCCCCCGCCAACCAAATTCATGTGTTGAAGCCTTAACCCTGAATGTAACCATATTTGAAGATAGAGCTCTTAGGCAGTAATTAAGGTTAAATGATGTCATTAGAGTAGGACCCTAATCTGATATTATTGGTGGCCTTATAAAAAGAGGAAGATAATCTCCTCTCTCTCTCTCTCTCTCTCTCTCTCTCTCTCTCTCTCTCTCTCTTTCTCTCTTTCTCTTTCTCCATCACATGAGGACACAGTGTGAAGGCAGCTGTCTGCAAGCCAGGAAGAGAGTCCTCCCCAGAACCTGACTTTGTTGGCACCCTGATCTCAGGCTGCAAGCCTCCAAAACTGTAAGAAAAGAAATTTCTGTTGTTTAAACCACCCAGGAAGTCCAAGCTGACTAAGACAGATTTTGGTACCAAGGAGGTGCTAGCCTTTAATGGGGAGGAGTGGATCCCTTCTTTCAGCTCAGGGTATTAAGAGGAATCTGTGGATTCAAGACTTTTGAATGCCTCAACCAGATGTTCCCACATCCCTCATCTTAGTGTCCCATTCCTTCCTAAACTTAACCCTTGTAGGGCAGATTTGCCAAGGTTGAGAATTCAACCACCACTAGTCCTTGATACCCTATTAGTTAAATATGAGGCTTGATGCTTAGCGTTTTATGTCATTAGGTCACAAAAGATGGAAGGCTCTTTTACATGCAGCCAAAGATGCCATATGACTTTCAACTTTGCCTTTACAAACTCCGCCAGCTATTCATTGTCTTTTCTTAATGCACGGACTGTCACAAAAACCATCCAATTCTAGACAGGGCATGGCGGTTCACGCCTGTAATCCCAACACTTTGGGATGCCAAGGCTGGAAGAGCACCTGAGCACGGGAGTTCAAGACCAGCCTGGGCAATATGAAGAAACCCCGTCTCTACTAAAAATACCCCAAATTAGCAGAGTGTGGTGGTGCATGCCTGTAGTCCCAGCTACTCAGGAGGCTGAGGCACAAGAATCGCTTGAACCTGGGAGGCGGATGTTGTGGTGAGCCGATATTGGGCCACTGCCACTTCAGCCTGGGAGATGGAGTAAGACTCTGTCTACACAGATACACACACACACACCCCCATCTAATTCCACAGTCCTTATAATCATGACTTCCCTTACACTTCTCAAAAGCCTGAGACAATGCGCCTTCCAGGATATTCTCTTCCACTGCTATCCCACCTTGTTCAGCACTGGTGAGTTTTAATAACTGCACTGCTCCAGCATTATCCATGCTTCACCTACAGCCTGTGGCAGTGTTCTCACTGTCAGGTGCTTAACAGGGGATCCAGCTCCAAAACTCCATTTCAGAGTCTGCTTCTTTAAACTGCTCTTGACACCAATTGTCTTAGGCTTGGTTTCTAAGGAAACTGACTCTGAAATAGAGTTTCCTCAGAGGAAGCTGATTGAGGAGGATCTTCAGGACCACATCTGTTGGGGAGGGGAAGAAGTAGGATTGTTCAAAAGGATAGGCTGGGCTATGATGCAGCCACAGTTAGCATCAATTAGCTTCAGTTAACCCCAAAGGAGCTCTGGGGCTGGGAGCACCATCTTTGTCCCACTTTGAGGCAAGGGCGTTGGGTCTTTATATCCCACATAATAATGGAGTCATTGTCTGGAAGTTGTTCCTGTGAAGAAGTCATAACCTTGGGTGAGACTGCTCTCTTCATCTGAGGACAACTTCTGGAGAGCATCTCAGCTGACATCTGTCAGCCAACGACAGTCCAGCACCTGGGGGATGAGCACCTTTATCCTATAGGAACCTGGGTGGCGCATCCCAGCATCCACTAGAGAGGGGATTATCAGAGGCTTCACTGGGATGAAGTCTTGTTTTCCTCTTTTTCATGAATTATGTCTTCTTCAAGGTATCCATGTGGAGGCTGAGCCAAAAACATTGATTGCCGTGGTTCCTGGGCAGTCCAGACAGGGAACATGAAATCAATAAAATCATCAAAAATTTTGTAAGCTAGAACAATGGTTATTTTATAAATGTGGCAATGACTTCTATTTGTTCAACAAAACCCATTTCCTCCTGAGCACACATCTAGATTGCATCCCCCATCTCTTTCGTAGTTATGTAGTCATGACTGAATTCTGGCCAAGGAAATGTGTGTAAAGTGAATGTGTCTGTCCCAGTGGCCCATAAAAACCTTTCCATATGCAATTTTTTCTCTCTTCTCCTGTCTTCCAGCTGAATTTAAAGGATGCAACAGGCCACTCTAGGGCCACAGAGGATGCCAACGTTGTAAGATAGAAGGACTCTGTGTCCCTGGATCAGCACGTGAAGGTCAACAACCAAACACCTACAGTGCATTATATGAGCAAGAAATAAAATTCCACTGTGCTAGACCACTGAGATTTTAAGGCTGTTTATTACAACTCATCTGCCTGGACAAAGACAGTAATTCATCCCAGATGCCAAAACTTTTTAGAAAAGAGTCATTGTACTAATAACAGAAAACCTAATCGACAATAGAAAGAGTTAATCCAAACACAGCACACTCTAAACATTTAGCTCCCATTGTCTGTATCTTCAAGGTCCTTATTCAAGGTCCATATTCTCTGACCACATTAGGAAACAGTAGGGTACAGCCTGGACTTGCACTGTGAGTTCAGATCCTGGCTCTGCCACTCATTTGTTGTATGACCTTGGGAAAATCATTGAATTTCTGTAAGCCTGAGTTTTCTCATTTGCACAATGTGCATAGCAACATGGCCTACCTCATAGGGACCTTGTGAAGTTTCAATGAGGAAAGGTAGGCAAGATGCTGAACACTGTGGCTGACACATCAATGAACACAAAATGTCATTCTTTACTACTATTACTAGCCACCTTTGAGCCTCAGGAAATCCCAAGAGGTAGGAAGGTATCTTTATTCCTATTTTACAGGCTGGGAACTTGGAGCTGTAGACTTTCTCAAGGCCCTTATCAGCAGCAGTAGTCCACCCTGGACTTTGGATCTTGCAACTCCTGATTTCCTGTTATTCCATACACGATGGCCACTTTCCCTCTATGTCTCAGTCATGACACTCACAACCACCTCAGACATGGTTTCACTGTTTCCTGTTAAGATGCCTTTTCCGATGAAGGCTGCTGTGGCACAGCTGATGCCTAAGCTGACAACTCTCACTGCTAAGGTGCCATGTCATTGCCAGGCATGCAGGAAAGTCTGCTCATTCCTGCCTGCAGGCACTCTCTGGCCTCTGCTCCCCATCATCCTTCCTCCTTCCAACAGCAAGGTCTGCATAGGGGGCCAGGGCATCTCATTAGAATCTCCCACAAGCACAGGTGCTAGACTTACATGGGAGGACTCTCCCTAGGGAGACACATTCAAGTATTTAGTGGTTACTGTACCGTAGTATTTTCTCAAAAGGCAACATTTAAGAGGCAGAGTGGTGTATCAGAAGAGGAAAGGATTTATATTTTATATTAGTTAGGATTCATTCAGGTACAAATAAATGACATCAACCCAAGACAGCATAAGTTATTTCTATCTATTGCTCTATTTACCTATCTATCCATCATCCATCTCTATCTATCATCTATCGATCTATATACTATCTTTCTATCATCTATATATTTATCCATCTATCCATCTCCACCTGTGATCTATCGATCTATATATTATCTATCTATCTATTTAGCCATCTATCCATCTCTATCTTTCTACCTATCTATCATCTATTTATCCATCTGTCCATCTCTACCTATCTATCATCTATCAAGCTATCTATTATCTATCTTTCTATCATCTATCTATCTATCCATCTCTATCTACCTATCTAGCTATCTATCATCTCTCCATCTACCTACCTATCATCTATCTACCTATCATCTATCTGTCTGTCTGTCCATCTAGTTGTTATCTATCTACCTACCTACTATCTATCTATCACCTGTCTATCTATCTATCTATTATCTATCTAGCTAGCTAGCTAGCTATCAATTCCTCCCTCTTTCTAGTAGTATGACTGGTTTCAAGCTCTGCTGGATCCAGAAGCTTAAATAATTGTATCAGGACCTGACCTCACACTGTCTCTCAGTTCCAGTTTTCCTTGTCTTATGTCCATTCTCAAATAGAATCTTTTTGGTGGCTTCCAGACAATCCCTTAGAATGGGAGATTTTCTGTTTTCAACAATTTCAACAAAAGTCCCAGAACCAAATCTTGCCAACTCCACTTGGACTGTGTGCTTCTTCCTGAGCCTGTCACTGTCATGGTGCTCTGGCTGGCTAGGCCTGGGACTCCTGCTTCACCTGCTTCTCTCTGGAGCTTGGGGGAGTCAACTGCATTTGAAATACATGGACTGAAAATAAGAGAAGCGTGATTCTATAAGGAAAGTTAGGAGGTGATGTTGCTACCAAACAGAAAAAGGAAACAGGTCAGGCAGAAAGAAATAGATGCCAGTACATCTAGGATTTTAGCAGCATGGAGTCTGTTTCCTGGCCCTAGCTTTCATCATTTCTAGGGACTCAAACAAGTCATCTTTTTCTTTGCTGCTGTTTCTTTGTTGTGGAGATTTATCTCTTGAATCCTAATTTTCTGTACTTTTACTTGGATACTTCCCAGGGTACTCACTATAGTATCCATTGCAGTGTTCAGAACTGACTTGTGTTTGCATTGAGGTGCAATGAGTGTTTATATTTTTATTGTGTGGTAGAAAAATTGCCTAATCAGTTTTTCAAATTACTTCACATCAAGTAACACATCAGTGACATGTTACATTTCTCCTTGATCTCAGGAGATGCCTCCTTCTTAAATATCAGCCGCTGGTGTTGGTTTTAAATTTCTTCTGTGTAGCTGTCCCCATAAGGTCTCAGTTGGGTTCCAATTTTTGAACTTGTAATATTGCTTTAGAAAGCAGGATCTTTCTGACAATAAACATTCTGTGTGCTTCTAAAATTCAGATAAACTGCTTAGATAACAGAAGGGTTATTAAAAGGTACAAATTCTCACTGTTAATATTTTTAGTATACAATAATAATTATTATGTATCATTTGTTGAATACTCCTAGGTGCCAAGAACCGTACAAAATATTTTACATACACAATCTCACTTTATCTTCTCAAAAAGGTCCCAAGCCCTCTCTCCAGTCTGAGTATTGGAGGTTCTTGTGTTTTCTCCTTTCCCTTTTCACCATCTGCACCATTCTATTCCTTGTGACCAGTGTTTTCTAATATATAACTCACCTTCTTCTCTGGTTTCTCTGTTTGTTTTTGCTTCCAGATTTATTCATTGCTTCTGTTAGGGTCACAAGTGGCCAGGTGATACCCAGGTAACATATACTCCTTTTGAATGCAGGAGGCAGGGAAGAGGCATCAAACCCACAGCTCCTTAGGCCAGAAGTGGCTTCCCTCAAACCAAAAGCCATGCTCACTTGCAGAGGCAGGGCAGAAAATCCAACACACAGACCCTGTCAATGTTGCTGAATGAGGGTGGCAGTGCCGTGTAAGTCAGGGGAGATTGTGGTAACCTCTGGGAGTAACCTTTTCCATGCCACATGTCCACAGAGCAGGGCAAGGCCAGCCCTGGAGCTAAAGGGATTCACACTGGTGGGAGAACAGACATTCCAAGGAATGCCAGAGGGGCCTCGTGGGCTTAAATCTAACAAATGAACAAAGTCAGTTTTAGACAAATAATTAGGTAGGTGTCCTCAGTGCCCGGCATTAATATGTTTGTATTTGTACACCAGCAAGCCCTTAATAAATACGTTCTCTCCTGTCCCATAAAAATAGTCTGTAAATAAATAACAGGACACCCCACTTTTGCTGACAAATCATTTTTCCTTTCTATCTGGGTGCCAGTTGCACTTTATAAATGACTTTAATTTACAGTGCATTATGTTTCCTTGTATTTCTTGCCTCTAAATCCCCATGCAATATTTTGTATCCATTCCCGTGATAGTTTAACTGTCTTTAACCTTTTCAGTGAGGGGTGTGTGTATGAGTATAAATATATGTGTTTGTGTGTAAGTATCTGTGTGTGTCTGTGTGTGTATGTTTGATAACACCATATATTTCATTCCATCATTTCTAAATGGATCAACTCAACATTGTCATTTTTGCCATATGTTTTATAATCATTGTCTTTCCATTAACATCAATTGTATTTGCTGGTCCCTGGATGGCTGCACCCAGAGGAAGCTGATCACCTTTGGTGTGAATGTCAATGCAAACACTGAGTTGGGTTGGGGGAGTTCATTGTGGAAGTCAAAGCAGATGTCACTGACCAGACTTCTCATCCATTTCAAGTGAAATTCTCTAAAAACTCACCTGAAGCTTTCCCCCAGAAAACACCAAGGTGCAGTATTCAACAAAAGGCAAACTAATACTAACTACTATTTATTAGGCACCTACTGTGTGCAAAGTCTTCTACTTGTACAGTTTCACTAATCTTCATAAAGATGCCCTAGGAGGTGGATATTATCATCACCATCTCCACTTGAGAGCTTGAAACTGAAGTTCAGAGGAAATGAAGTTAGTACAAAGCTCAGCTGCATTTGAATCTGTCACCAAAGCCTGCCTCATATCTCTGACCAATATAGCCAGAATCTGACTCTAGAGGGTACAGGGATAAGGACTTTGCATACAGAGTCAGATTATTTGCCAGTGTTGTGTGCTCTTCCCTTGTAGCTTTGTCCTAGGCTGCCCATGAGTTTGCCAAAAGTGTACTGCAGCCCGCTCTGAGGCAGGGCAGGGCAGGGCACTGAGGTTGGGCGGCTGAATGCATCTGACTCTGGTGCCTGAGATTCTCACAATCTAGTGGACCCCTAGACAAGCCAACAGATACCCCTACCCCACTGCAAAGTAGAGACCCATCCATCCATCCATCCATTCACTCATTCATACAGCAAATATTTATTAAACTCTGTGCCAGGTACTGTTGTAAGCACTGGGGTTACAAGACAGACAATAGCTCTGAGCTCACACTAAACAAACTAGCAATATAACAGACAATAATTAAGAGGGTTCTGTCTTAGTTTTCTATTGCTGCCACAGCACACTACCATGAATCTAACAGCTTAAAACAACAACCATGTATTATCTCACAGTTCTGTAGGTCAGAAGTCCAGGTAGGTGCATGTGAGCTCTCTGCTGCAAGTCTCACTAGGCCAACATCAAAGGGTCAACCATCTGGGCTCTTCTCAGGAGATTCTGGAAGGAATCTTCCAGGCTCATTCCGATTGCTGGCAGAATACAGTTCCCTGTGGCTGCAGGACGGAGGTCCCTGCTTCCTTGCTGGCCATCAGCCTGGGGCCACTCTCTCAGCCTCTGGAGGCTGCCCGCCTTCCTTCTCATCTCATGGACCCTACACCTCTTCTCATCAGCTACTGTGCATGCTGGAATCGTGCTGGTTTCCTTTTCTGCCCTTACTCTCTGCATTTAAGGGCTCATATGCTGGTATTACATCTACTTGGATAATCCAAAATTATTAATACCTCCCTATCTTAAGGTCAACTGACAAGTACCTTTATTACATCTGCTGAGTCTCTTTTCCCCATAAAATTACACCTTCATAGGTATACCAATGGCAAAGAGGGCCAAAAACACAGAAAAAAATAATGTGATCATCATTCATTCAACGAATACTTATTGAGCACCTATTATACACCAAGCACTGTTCTAAGTGCTGGTTATACAACAATGAACAAAACAGACAGAAATGCCTAGCGTCCTGGAGCTTACCTTTTAGTGAGAAAAAGACACCAAAAAACAAGATAAATAGGTAGAAATATATGCTGTGTCTGGCATTGATACATGCTATGGAGAAAGATATATTGAGACAAGTCTAGGGAGGCATTGGGAATGTGGTTATACTTTGAAATAGAGTGGTCAGGGAAGGACTCACTGAGAAATTGAAGGAAGAGAGAGACCATGCCATGCATGTAACTGGGAAAGAACTTTCTAGAAAGAAAGAACAGTAGGTGCAAAAGTGCTGAGGTGGGGGCATGCCCCACAGGTTCAAGGAGCAGCAAAGAAAGCAGTAAAATCTAAAGCAGCAAGGAGAAGGCCCCTCAAAGAGAGCAACAGCCAGGTCATGTGAGGCTGGGGCATGGCGTGATGGTAACAGGAGGTGCAGATTGGAGAGGGAGGTGCTGATTTAATTTTTGTGGTCAGAGAAGGTGTGTGTATTGGTTAGCTATTTTTGTACAACACATTAGCAATTCAAAACCACAAATGTTTGTTTTCTCAGTTTTTAAGGGTCAGGAATCTGGAAGTGGCTTACCTGGAGTGGGTCAGGCTAAGGGTCTCTCACAAGGCTGCAATCAAGTTGTCAGCTGGGAGTTCAGTCATCTGAGTCTTGACTGAAGCTGGTGGATTTCCTCCCACATGCAGCTGTTGGCCTGCAGCTTCTGCTCCTTGCCAAGCACGTCTCTGCAGAGGACAGCTGGAATAGCTTCCCCCAGCGCAAATGATCTGCAGGAGAGGAAGATGCCACACTGCCTTTTATAACAGTCTCTGAAACACACACACACATGGGCACACACACACATACACACACACACCTTATTTTGTTGTTTAGACTCAAGTCACTGAGTCCAGCCCTCACTCAACAGGAAGTTACTGCACAAGATTGTGAATACCAAGAGATGGGTATCACTGGGGCCACCTCGGAGGCTGGCTGCCACAGAAGGCTTCTCAAAAGATGGGATATTTGATCTGAGAGCTCAATGATGAGAACAGTCCTGTCAGCTCTTCCAGGGCAGCTGACTCTTTCCGACAATGAGCCTGAAAGAAGCACCTTGGACAGAGGGAAGGAGATATTCGCACAGACTGTGGTTCTCTTCATCCTCACCAAGTCCAGACTCATCATGCCTCCTCCACCTCTTCAAATGCTTCCCTTCTTCCTCCTCCACTTTCCTTTCCCATCAGGCCACTGGAGTTTATAGTTGAAACCACATGCCCCAGGGTGTTCCTGACCCCTGCTCTTTGCTTAAGCTATTCTCCTACCCAGCATGCCACCACCTCTTCCCTACTTCCCTAAACATGGACTATACTCAGAGCCAACCCAAGCCACCACGTCCTCTTAGTAGCCTCCCCTGATGTTGCAGCCCACACTGATGGCTTTTCTGAATCAAGGACACCTCATAGCAGGAAATCTGGTCCCATTTCTATCGGTGTCTCATGTCTCCAACTCCATTGTAAGCTCCCGGGGGCAAGGACTGTGTTATACTTACTTCTGACGTTCCTAAAGACCCCTGCCACAGTTGGAGTCCTGGTGGTCAAGAAATGGCTCACCCAGATGGGGTTATTTGAGGAGTATTAATAAAGGAACTTGTTTACAGAGTTTAGAGAAACTAATAAAGGATAGTATGGTGTCCAGGACTGGCTAAAGCAGGGAGCCGATACCCCCACCTGCACCCCACCGTCTGAGGCCTGGAGGAGCAAAGGGAGCTGGCAGTTTCCCAAACTGGAGAGAAGAATGTAAAGGAAGAGCCACCTGATGGGTGATGTGGCCTGCAGGGCCAAGCCACAGTGACCTGGCAGGAGAGAACAAGGAATAAAACCCTCGCCTCTTGCTCCTCCCATCTTCCTATCTTCATTGGCAGCTTTCATTGGCCAAATGCAAGCAGAAGCCAGAAGGCAGGGGAGTCAGATCAGTTCACATAGGTCAGCCCCTGAGCTGCAGCAGAGTGGAGAAGAGTAGAGAAGGAATCTGGACAAGCCAATAGACTCTACAGTGTAAGACTCAGAGCTGGAAGCCTGCTTAGTTCTCTAGTGCCTCCTCCCAGCCTGGTACCCAAATCCCTGCTGACAGGACATCTGCCCCATCTGCAGTACTTCTATACGGTTAACATGGCTCCATAGCTGTCTAAAAAGTGCATCTCTGAACCATTGACTTTGTGATGTAAATATCCCAAGAAAGCAAATCGTGTTTGTGCTGGGGTTGACCCTTTTCGTGTTCATGGTAAGCTGACAATGAAAGTAGCATCCTTACTCCCTGAGGAGAGCAGGTGCCTCCATGATTAAGGAGCATGTTGGAAAGGGTGGGAACATTGGGCTCTATGATAATTGGCACATTCTTCCATCTGGTCCCTTTACAATGCTTGGAATTTATAAAGCCACTGCTGGAGTTTATGCAAAATCTCTTGCTTTTAATTAAGTGGCCTAGTTTCAGTAAATAGTGTGACAGGGAGGAATCTATCAGTAGGGACTGATGTTATGAGCAAAAGAGTTGCCAGGCCCAGTGGAAATGCAGTCTCCATATGGAGAGACTTGGAGGGAGCTGCTCTGGCAGGACGTTGCCATTTCAGTGATCACAGACCAAACAGAAGCCTCCAGACGCAACTCTGGAGTGAAATGAAGCCAAGACTGTCTGCTTCCAAGGAGAATAGCTGCAGACCCCAGACTGCCCTGTGGACACCGCAAGCCCAGAATTCACACAGCTGAAAGGGGCTTATGGACCATCTTCCCAGCTGCTGGCCCAGGGCCAAAGATGGGGCTGGATCCATGGTGCAGTTTTCACCACAGTCCAAAAAGAAGTGAGAAAAATGACAGCAAAGTCAGCTCTTTAAAACTAATGTAAAATTTGGCCACGCAAGGTGGCTCATGCCTGTAATTCCAGCACTTTGGGAAGCCGAGGTGGGTGGATCACTTGAGGTCAGGAGTTCAAGACCAGCCTGACCAACACGGTGAAACCCCGTCTTTTCTAAAAATAAAAGAAATTAGCTGGGCATGGTGGTGCACACCTGTAATCTCAGCTATTTGGGAGGCTGACGCAGGAGAATTGCTTGAACCCAGGAGACAAAGGTTGCAGTGAGCCGAGATGGTACCACTGCACTCGAGTCTGAACGACAAAAGCGAAACTCTGTCTCAAAAAAAAAAAAAAAAAAGAACAAAACAAAACAAAAAACCCAACAAAAAAAAAAAACCACCACTAATGTAATTCCATTTAACGAACTTTTTTAAATTTTGTATTTTTATACATTGTATTATTCCTTCTTTCTTTGCCTGATGTGAAACTGTCTTTTGTTTAACAAGAGATTTTAAAAGTAGACAGTCAGGGTTTTTAAAAATGTAGTTTCCTAACTTGAGCTCCATCCCCCCCACCACACACATACACATTAAGAAATATGAGTGGTCCATGAAATCCCAAGCACTGGCCACTCATGGTCTAACGATGTGTCAAGATGCCCATGTTCAGATGGGGAAGATGAGATTCTGAGACTTAAAACAGGTCCAGGAAGGTAGGTAGAAAACTGTCATCCCACAGTGTTGCTGCTTTTCCCCAGGCCCCACAGGTTGTGGTGACTTAACAGTGGGGAGAGGAGGCAGGGAGCCTGGGAGCTCCCCCCGACCTCTGCTGGGGCATGCCTCCTCCAAGTGAGTCACCCCTGCCTGGCACTCCAGGAGCAGCATAACAGAAATGCCTTCACCACATTAGAATCAGGCTGTGGCCCCTCCCGCTCTCTTCTTCCTTGACTTCCACGGGATTCAGATGGCATCCACATCTTCAGCTCACATTTTTAAGGTTCATGCTTTACTGCCCAAGAAGATGGACCAGTGATTTGAAGTTAAGCAGGCCTGGCCTGGCCACTTAACCAACAGAAACTTGTCTTCGGTGAGCTTCCTAACCTCTCTGATTCCCCAATGCCTGATCATTTATTTGCTCTCTACTCCACTAAAACTCCAGGTGGGCAGGGACTGTGCCAATCTTGTTTACAGATCTGTCTGTAGCACCTAACACAGGGCCAGGCTTATAGCTAGCACCTAGAAAATACACTTTAAAAAAAACCTCATTCTGTAAAGGTTTCAAGACTACAAGCCCACATCTGTGGAATGGATGTGATAATGATACCTTTCTCTTACGTTTCTAGGAAAGCTTTGCAATATTATGATAATTATGGCCACAGGTACACTTGCAAACTTTCAGTTCCCTACCACCCAGACACCAAGGACTGTAGCAGGGAGTGTCAGCATGACCAGGGAACAAGATTTCCCATGATCCAGTCCTGGGAGACATCAGCTGTGTAGCAGAATTCATGGAAATCCGGCAAGGTCCAGAGCAGCTCCCCAAGAAAACAAATCAAAGGGAAGGCTTTGGGCACACCCTGCTCTCCACCAGACCCAGGCTGCCTGACTCAGGTGTCTTTCCTACTGGGAGAAGCTGTCACAAAGTTGGTATTTGTGTCACACAGGGAGATTGTAAAATGCTGTATTTGGAAACATGAATGTGTAATGTCTCCCTGGAAATCTACACCTTCTCAGTGAAAGATACAAGTGCAGTCCAAGACAGACATGTTTAATTAGTGGGCAAACTTGACATTTCCAGTGTTTGGACTAGACAGAGGGAAAGCCAAGAGCAAACCGAGGTCTATTCTTCATCCCCTCCCCCCAGCTTGCTGACAGAGAATAATTTATTGGGTTTAAAGAAAAATGAATGTCTTTACAATAACAGCAGAGAAAAGGCCAGGAGATCCAAGGGTGGTTATTAAATAATTGTCACCACTAAACACGCGTCTCCCTCATCTTCTCCACTCCTGCCCTTCTTGGGACCCTGCTTGATCAACATGCATATGCTCATGCTGGCGTTTCTGTCCACCCAGTCTCTTGGGTGCTGGGTCTCAGAGGTGCTCTTGTGTTACCCACATCTGAGATCTGCAATTCTAATTTTTTGATATCTAAGATATCTGAGTCCTCCTTATCTTTCTCAGGCTCATGATTGCTTGCAGTAACTTTCTTTCTTTCTTTCTTTCTTTCTTTCTTTCTTTCTTTTTCTTCTGTCTTTTTCTTTCTTTCTTAGAGACTGTGTTTCACTCTGTGGCTCAGGCTGGAGTGCAGTGGCGTGACCTCACTGTAACCTCAAACTCCCGGGCTCAAGTAATCCTCTTGTCTCAGCCTCCTGAATAGCTGGGACTGCAGGTGTGTGCCACCATGGACAGCTAATTGTAAAAATTTCTGTAGAGAACGGGATCTCGTTATGTTTCCCAGGCTGGTCTCAAACTTCTGGGCTCAAGCAATCATCCCACCTCAGCCTCCCAAAGCACTGGGATTACAGGCATAAGACACTGTACCCAGCCAGCTTATTAACTGGTCCCCACCCCTCCTGCCCTCCCACCACTCTGAGTTTACACATTTCTGCCAGAACAAGTTTTGCAGAGCATGGCTTTGTTTGTGTCTCTTCCTTTTACCAAGGTTTTCAGTAGTTCTTTATTTATTAAACAAGATCGATTGTATACCTTTCATGGCCAAGCCCCGGGAGTCAATGATGTCTAAGGCTGCCTTGAGATGAAGCCCAAATATTTAATCTGGCATTTAGTCATACCTCAATGTACCCTTCTGAGTTTATCCCTCCTCCCTCCAATCTTGTACTTTTTATTTATTTATTTGTTAGAGACAGGGTTTCACCTCTGTTGCCGATGCTGAGTGCAATGATGTGATTACAATTCACTGCAGCCTCGGCCTCTAGGACTCAAGTAATTCTCCCACTTCAGCCTCCCAAATAGCTGGGACCATAGGTGTGTGTCACCACACCTATCTACTTTTTTATTTTTTGTAGAAATGAGGTTTTGCTATGCTCCCGGGCTGGTCTTAAACTCCTGGACTCAGATGATCCTCCTTCAAAATGTTGTGCTTTAGACACATCCACAACCCGCTGGTTCTCTGATACTCCCTGCATATCTCCATCCTCAAATGCACCTTTACTGAAGAACTTCTGTGCACAGTGTTGAAGACTTTTCATCTATTTTTTTGTTCATTACTGGCCATTATTTACAAGACCAGGATTCTTACTGCTCATGCCTTCATTTACACAAATCCCTTCACCGAAATGCTCCTCTTTCCTCCAGCTCCCTCATTCTTTAATGGCCAAGCTAAATGTCACATGTGATGCTCCTCGTGGTATTATCATTCACCCACCTTCATGTTGCCATAGAACCTTCCTTGAAGTCCCCTTACACTACCTGACACACTTTACCCTATAGATCATGGAATAACTCAGAAATTGATAACCAAAAGAACATATCAGTCAGAGTTCAATCAAAATAAATGAATCATATGATAAATGTTTGAGGTGATGAATATCTTAATTACCCTGATTTGATCACTACCCATTGTATGCATTTAACAGAATATCACATGTACCCCTAAAATATGTACAATCATTATGTATCGATTAAAAAGTAAACCACTCTGATATGTCAAACAGAGGGAACATAATTGGTTACACAAGTAATGGAAAAACAGAAAAATCAAGCAAACGATGCAAGTCAGCCAAAGATTGGTGATGGCAAGAAGCTGCTACCACCACAAGACTGGTGGGCAGGCAGGAAGTGCGGTTACCAGAGCCCTGGTTTCAGGTCATCCAGCAGAAGCTGGAAATGTGGTAGGTCATTCAGTGAGGGCTAGAGCCTCAGAGGAGACGTGACCTCTAGCAGAGATGTTGCTGGAGGCCATGGAGGGAGATGCCCTGCTTCTCTCCTCTTTTCACCATCTGATTCGCCCCAAGAGCTGCCTGTGGCTGAACCCAGATGGAGGTGAGCTGGCGTGGGAACCTGAGACTCCTGGCTCCATGATATAGAGCAGGGCAGGGCAGGAGTGGGGAACTACACAGCTCGCATGCAATACCTCATGTTTCTAAAACTAGAACACTTCATTAAAGTAACAGCGTGTTTCATTAACTCATCTCCAGCATGAAACCTTACATAATACTTTTAAGGAAATGCAAACCCTTCAGTGTAGCTTATTTCCCTCGTTCACCCTCCATTCCTAGCAATTCTTCACTTTGCTCCAGCTGCCTTGAGCCTGACGCCAAGGAGAACCACCGTGACCTTTTCCTGGGCTGAGGCTCGTGACTCATTTCCCACCAAGCTCAGCTCTTGGTTTGTGGAGTCACTTCATTTGCCCTAAGGAGACTTCAGTGGGTTATTCTCTACTAATGCTCATGACCCAAAAGGCTTACACTTGCCCCGTTGGTCTCTTCCAGGACACCATGTTTTCCTGCCATGGCAAGGCTAAGGGAAGTGCTCCACCAGGGGACAGCAGAAAGTAAGATGAAGGCTGTGGGCTCAAATCTCAGGGTTTGAACTTCAAACGCACACCCTGCTGTCTTGGCTACTGACCTTGGGCATTGACTTGATCTCTCCAGAGTTACAGCTTGCAATGGGAGCATCTACCTCATAAGGTTACTGTGAGGATTAAGTAAAATGATACATGTAAAACAGTTGGCCCAATTCCAACTACGTAATGCATTTAGTAGCTGTGAGCTATCATCATTTTTCCTTTACAATCAGAACAGCCAAACCATCATGAAAGCCCATGGGTTGTGTGGATGTAGCAGCCAGCTCCACATTCTCCAACAACTTTGTTTTTAATCAAGCAAACATTCTTTTCATAATTACTTTGTATGTCACTAAGTCCAGCTAATTTCCAATGCTTCAGAATCATCTTGGAATGTTACAGCTGGTAGAGAGCTTAAAGATTGTCTGGTTTAGTTCTCTCTCACTACGTAAAGAGGGCCAAAACACAGGGTAAATTCGTCTTCTGTATATACGTATATAGATAGATAGATAGAGATATCCATATATACAGTCATGCATCACATGGCATTTCGGTCAATGATGGACTGCATATATAACGGTGTCCCTGTAAGATTATAGTATCACATTTTTATTGTTCTTTTCTATGTTTAAATATGTTTAAGGACACAATGTGCTGCAATTGCCTACAGTATTCATCACAGCAACATGCTGTCCAGGTTTATAGCTTGGGAACAATAGACTATAACACATAGCCTAGGTATGTAGTCAGCTATACCATCTAGGTTTGTATAAGTACACTCCATGAGGTTCACACAAATGATGAAATTACTTAATGGTGGATTACTCAGAACATATTTCCTTCATTAAGCAACACATGACTGTATATATCATGGCAAAAAGAAACAAGAAGAAAACATATAAGCATTTATGAACTTACCACTTAGAGATAAATAAGTTATCATTTTCTACATAACCATTTAGTGTTTCTTATAAATATTTTTAAATAAAGATGAAATTATAGCATACCTACTCTTTTAAAAAGTAACTTTTTATCCAAATAACACTATTTCTTCATCATCTTTCCATGACATTACATATCATTTTAAGAGCTTCATTTGTTTATTTTATTTAATAAATTCCACTTTTTAAAAAATTGGAAACATTTAGGATGGTTCCAATTTTTCACCATTATAAACAATGGCTTCAAAATGCTTCTGAACGGGACCAAATACCACCTTTTCCTCTGAGCACTTTAAGTCCTTTGGGCTACAATAAGATGCTGAGTTTTCAAGCAAACTGTCTGGTTTCTTCAAGCTGCCTCCTCCAGCAAGGAGATTTCTCACCTGTTGTTACATGAACCTATTCTTGCAGCATGTCCATGAGGTCAGCCCTTGCAGAGCTACAATGAGTGAGTCTGAGGAGCAGGTCTCAGCATGGCTGGCTTCCTTGGCCTTTTGCCAGATGAAATCTATCCACATGTTTTCTTCAGGTGTGGGCCCACGTTACAGGCACAGGGGCATTATGTGAATCTCCACAAATGCTTTCTTAAAGATGATGCGTGATATCACAAGGTGACTCTATGATGTGTTTTCCCATCCTCTGCCTTTTCAGGACCTGCAGGGCAGGCTTTGTGTTATATAGGAAGCTTCTGAACTGAGAGCAGCCCCTGGGAGCGTCAATCAGACTCCCCAGACTAGAAAGAACTTAGAAGCAGTGGCCAATGTTCTTGGGATGTGGCCAGTGATGTTGCAGTCTCTAATTCCAGGCCTTTTGTGTAGTCATAAGAGGCTGGTGTCCTGGAGATAATTATGGGGCACTGGGAACAATCCCTAGCCCCAAAACTTATTCTCCAACAACCTGTGACAGTGCCTCAAGCTCTGCCCTAACAAGATATCAAGGTGATAGATATGAAGGCTTTCATAAATTCCTCTGATAAAATCCACAAATCTCAGGAGAAGGAACATACTAATCTACGACCAGCCCCTGGTCCTCCCCTAGGATTCCCTTGTGAGAAGGAGTCAGTATTCGTTTGCTTGGACTGCCATTACAAAGCATCGGACTGGATGAAGAACAACAGAAATTTATTTCCCACAGTTCTTCGGGCTGGAAGTTTGAGATCGAGGTGTTGATAGGGTTGGCTCCTTCCTTCTGAGGCCTGTGAGAGAAGGATCTGTGCCAGGCCTCTGTCCTTGGATTATATATAGATGCTACCATCTTCTCTCTGCATTTTCACACGGCCTTCCATCTGTAGGGGTCTGTGTCCAAGTCTCCTCTTCTTATAAGGACATCAGTCATAATGGATTAGGGACTGCCTTTGTGACTTTATTTAAACTTAATTGCCTCTTTTAAGATCCTATCTCCAACTACAGTCACAGTCTGCAGTACTGGAGGTAGGATTTCAACACATGAATTTGAGTGTGTGACACAATTCAGCCTGAAATGGAGTCCAAGTACAAGAATTAACATAGAAAGATCTCCAAAGAATTGTAGACAGAAAGAAAAAGCAAGCTGATAAATGATATTCTCTACACTATCATTTATGAAACAGTTTGAAAACATATAAGTTTATATCCTACATTTTTCTATTAATTCATAAATGATAGAGACTTAGACAGGAAGGATAAACACGACTTTCACAATAGTTCCTTCTGAGGAAGAAAAGAAAGATGGAATTGTGAAGATTTCAAAGGGTAAACTTTGCTGTATCTATCATGCATTTTTTAAGCTGGGGCACGTATAGCAAGCCATCAGTACTTGTTCCATCTGGAGGCGATTACATATGTGTTACGTAGAATACTCTGTATTCTCTGTTTCTGACATTTTCCATGATTTGGGCAATGAAGAAAAGAGGCCAGGGATCATCAAGGAAACCCTTGGTCTCCCTGGCTTTTCTGATACTCTGGGGAGTGATGGGATTGAATCATTTGACCTCTAAGGGTCGGTGGGAGGGCCGCGAGAGATGAGAATGTGCATGCTTCAGGAAAAAGGCTCTCAGCACTAACAACCCTGCCCAGGCTCCTCAGGACATGACCCTGGAAGCCTCTGAGATAGAAGCATAAAAACCACAAGATGGAGCCTGCCCCTATCCCAGTAAGAGGAGTGAGGGTTCTCCACAGCCTGTTCAGTTTCCTTGTACAGCAACCTCCTCATTGTTCCCCAGAGCTCCCACCTCTGCCATCTTCTTCTCCAAGGGCACCAAGTGCCTATGAAGTGTTTACCAGCCTCCATGGGAAGAAGGAGCCCCATGGTGACCTCATAAGAGAGCAGTGGAGCAGCTTGTGTCCAGGTCTGTTTTATGCCAAGCACAGAGACCAGCCAGGAAGGGTGATCTACCAACTCCGTGCAAGCAGAAAACTCACCAGGAGGTGTGCCAGCCACTTAGAGGGCACCTGAAGCTCTTTTAGATTTTTTAAATTTTATTTTTATTTATTTTTAATTTTTGAGGATGGAGAACATGTCTTTTCGCCTTTACACTTATTCTCTCCCAAACATCCAGTCAGAGTCCACCTATTACATGTCTTAAACAATATTTTTGGTAAGCAGTTCTGTGGAAAGTATACAAAAACAGCAAAGTGAGAATAGAAAACCAAAGTATGAATGAAGAAGCACAAACATCAACATTATTTACAGTCTTTCTGGCTTTTTGGTATTTGTAATATCATTTGATTCTCACAATAAACTGTGGGCCAGCTGGGATAGAGAGAAACAGACCAGCTTGCAGTCACAAGGCCCAGAGGCCAGAGGTGACTTGCCCACTCTCCCACCTACCCAGCAGCACGCTCTCCTCAATTCACCTAGACCCCATCACACTCACCGTTGTCTGCCCCATTCCTTTCACACCTACCACCCCTTCTCTGCCTTGCTTGTCTGATCCCCTCAATTAGGTTAAAGTGTGAGAACAACAATTCAAATGCTATCCTCAGATGTTCAAACATGTGGCATTTTTTACATTCTGTAGCTGAGTTAAATTTCCTATGAATCCCTTACTACTGACTGATAATGGAGCATACAGAATTTAGGCTTTCCAATCAACATCTCAGTATCAAATGGTTGCTAACATTGTTGAGTAAACATTTAGGAAATTCAGGTTTAGTCAGGGCTGTCTCTGCTACATCTTTTCTGGCTTTGTATTTTAATGAAGCTAAATTCCAGGGAGTTTTGTGTGGCAACGTAGTGATGATGAGGTAGGAGCTGCAGAACCAAATGCCATTGTTTTGTTTGTGGGGAGGGAATTCTGGACCATTTGTTTCTGGGGTGGCCATGTTCTGGCACATACCACTAAAGTCGTGGTAGTAAAATGTATAGTGCCCCAAAGAACCAAGCCTGTCTTGGTCCCAGCTGACACAGTCCCTCCAAAGCTGTAGGGATCCCTGCAGTGCAACTCAACTGCCAGCATCACTCCCTTTGAAAGGCTATGAGATCTCGGTGCTTCTTTCATGGTTCAATATAGTCAGGGTGATTGAGAGACACCAATGTCAACCCTCTCACTTCCTACATCATCACTGCAGCTGGTCCCAACTACAGTCTACGTGAGATCATGCTATTCCAGCTCCATGTTAAACATGAGGATTTTTCTCAGAAGCTTGCAATATTTTTCAGGTTGACCCCCATGAAGTAAGAAGCAAATTCTCTAATCCAGAAGTTCTCCAAACCTATGAGAGCTTTTCTAATTTTGTCTAGGTCTCCACAACTCCTCCCCTCAAGGGGGTACCTAGAACCCCAACTTGTGATCTCTTGCCTGCCTTCCACCATTTTTTTCTCCCAAGAAGATCTCTTTCTCTTCTTTCCTGATGAACACTCTTTATTTTAGCTGCTGAATTTTCTCTGCCTGTGGTTACTAATGAAGCTGTAGGGTCCAAAGTAGCTAGAGCTGGTTATTGATTTATAAATAAGGCAGCTCTTGGAACTCAACCTAACTGTGGTCTTAAAAAGTCAACTTTGAGATTCAAAACTGACTAGGAAAACAAGATGTTTGGGTAATGAATACACATCAAAAACTACAATCTGGTAGTGTAACCATAAGCATCTTGGAGGGTAGGAAACCACCACAAACCTGAATGAAGAGTATCATATCAACCTTTGTTAAATTGGGGAAAGAAGGTATAAAAGATGCTCCTTTCCACCTTTCTCACCCCCTGCTCTGCCACACCAAAATGTCTCCAGGGTATACCAGATGGTGGAAACATCACTCCTACATTCTATTTTGCCATTTTGTGCAATTTAAATATATTTTCTCAGGTTCTTTTCTTCACTCATTTATCCCTTCCCCCTCTCTCATCTAATAGAAAACTGGGCAGCTGCTTTGAAATGTCACACCTGAAGTTAGCTCAGCTTGAAAAGTTTAAAAATAGTCAACACAAGGAACAAAGGTGTTTACCAGAAACAAATACTGTTAACAGCTCCTCCTAGACACACTTCAGGTTCCCACAGGGTGACAGAATTGATGTGTGAACAAGGACTCTCCTGCTTCTGCTAGGCTATGACTTTCAAAGTCCTTTCTTCACGGGCAAGTCAGGTCTGCCCCAGACCGAGAAAGCTGAGCACAAGGGAGGTGCCTCTTCCCACATCTGAATCCTTGGACCTTTGTCACAGTTTGATTACTCTAGTGTCTTTCAATATCAGTGGCATAAAAAGTACAAGTTTTATCTCAGTACATATCATTCTATATTATAATCATTCATTTTATTTGTTTGTAGAAAGGCAGTGTAGTGACTAAGGGTATAGGTTTTGGAGCAAGATTGCATGAGCTCAAATTTCTGGCTCTGCCACGTGTTAGGTGTGTGACTTGAGCCAAGCAGTTAGCCTCTCTGTTCCTCTGTTTCCTCATCTGCAAACTAGGATAATAATAGTTCTTACCTCATAGAGTTGTAGTAAGAATTAAATGACTTAATATAGTTAAAGTCTTACACTAGAACTTGGCAGAAAGCACACTTTATTGTGAGTGTTTGCTATTAATAATGTACATCTGGACCTCTTTCCTCCACTAGGTAGCAAGCTCCCTCATGGCAGGGACTCCATGGTTTGAGGGCTTCAGGACCATGGACAGGGCCAACACCCCATAAAGGTCTTCATTCTTTTTGTTAATTCCCTCTTAGTCATATTTCTAAGAACATTTTTAAAATCTAACTACAAGATAAATATATATTATTGGTATAAATGGATATTTGTTGAAAATTGGATTGATGAATGAATAAAACAGCTCCACGTTTTCAGGGTCATCTCTGCACCCCACACTCCCACCACTGCGTTCTTCAGTGGGTTTTTTCTCTGCTCACCCTTTCTATTGCTATTCTTTGTACCAGTCATGTGCACATCCTGGCCATTGTTTTGAGTTTATCAGAAAGGACGGCATGAGATGGGCCAGGGCAGGGGCATTTTCAAAGTCTGGAGATGCTGATACCTGGATATGTTCAAAAGTTCTCTTTTCATGGGGACTTCCCAAATCACCGTATCTAAAATTGCACCTTCACTTTATTTCTTATTCTTCTTCCCTGCTTTAGTCTTTCTCCTTAGCATTTATTGATATCTACCTTCCTATTTATTTTACATATCTTGCTTGTTGTCTATATCCCTCATAGAATGTAAGCTCATGTAAGCTCCCTGAGAACTGGAATGTTTATCTTTTGTTTTTCCTTGTATCCTTAGATTCTTGAATAGTGTTTGATGAATTGTAAGGTCTTGATAAATATTTTTGAATGAATGCATAATATACATGCATATATACTTTAAATAAAATAAGCTATACAAATCTCCAAGCTGAAAATGTGAGTTTGTGTTAACACATGAACCTGATTAAACTCCCCTCCTCCAACTCCTAGCATGCAGTCTGCAAGTGAATCAAGACTGCCAAGCCCTTCTCTCTAGGGTCACAGAGAGATGATCTTGGTGAGGTCTGAAAGCAGGAGGAAAACATTCACTTGACATTTAACAGTTCATTGAAATAGCAAACCTGATGTAGAGAACCAGTGCATTTTCAGCAGCTGCCTGCTTCCTTTCCAGTAAATGTCTTGGTTCTGTGTCTGACATAACTCTGCCACAGAATCTGGCAGACTTAGAGGGAAAAACATTTGTTATCTAGAGCTAAGTGCCACCCACACTTCATCAAGACATCTGAGAGACAGCTGTGAGGCTACAACTGGCTAGCAAAGGGTAACTTGTACTTGTTAAGCCGCTACTACATTCTAGGTGCTTTAGTAGGAGCTTTATTTAGAATATCTCACTTAATCCTGGGTACCATTTTGTATCCATAAAAATGATA